TAAAAAAAAAAGTTAATTCATTTATTTTTGTCAGTTTTGATATATCTGTTCGCCTAGCTGTCTATGTAATATATTGTTTGAATGCACAAAATTGAGTGCAAACAAAATCAGTGATGAGAATTTCAATACAATTCATGTTTTGGTGTGAAGAGTTGATTTTTTTAAATTAAATGTTGCAAATCTCAAAAGAAGTGTTTAAATGAACACTGTATGTTAATTTATTGTAAATCATGATTAGTGATACTATTACTAGGGGGTGGATCCAGTGGTATTATAATGATATATTCAGTGGCGCTTCTAGACCACAGTAATTAGGGGGGCCAGACAGGGGCCACTTGTGCTTTTAGGGGGCACACTTTTAAAACTCATCTTAACCTACTTGCAGTATTATTCATTCAGTTATTTTTCACAATGTCATGTATCACAACAGGGGCGGACTGGGACAAAAATTCAGCCCTGGCACTGTAGCCACACCGGCCCAAATTAACACACCGACACAGCCCCACCCACGGACACACACATTCACTACTTACATTTGTGTACAGATTGTGAAATAATATAAGCAGTACCATATATGTAACAGATATTTAAACATTTAATGTATGTGTCTGGCAAACAATGTTTACTACTTTTTAAAGAGCACACGTTTATAAAAAAAATTTACACATACAGTAAAAACAAAAGAAAAAGAATCTGAGGATGTTGTAGAGTCTGTGTGCTGTCTGTTTATGCCATTTGTCTGCTGTTACTGTCATTCTCTACAGTATGTTGTTCTTTGTTGTCACTGTCTGTCTGTTGGATCAGAAGCTTTCAGCAGTTCTCTAAAGTCAAATCTAGCGGTTTCTCAACAGCATGAAAAAGAAGGTACCTTTGTGTGACTTAGAGCATAAACACACACACACCTTTTTAAAATTTTCATTAATAATTGCCATGCTCAGAAGAAGAGACAAAATCACATCAGCACATTTAAACATGAATACCATGTTCCTTCTGCTTTCAGATCAGCAGGGGAAGAAAATAACTATGAATCAGGGTGGAAAACTTGATATTTACATTGCTGTGGATGCATCTGAAAGCATAGATCAGAAGAATTTTGAAAATGCAAAAACCACCATCAAAATGCTTATAGACAAGGTATGTCAATTGTCAAATAATTTATCGGAACACACGACCCCCAGAGGTTGCTGTGGTGAAGTTGTAAGACCACTTATTTAGGCTACTGATGTAGGTTATGTAGCCTTTCCTAAAAACATTCTAAAAGCAGTAATTTAACTGCTGTTCATTTTGATGTTAGAGGTTCTGTAATAATATATAAATATCAATATTTGAAAAGGATTTACCATTGTGATACACTAAGATGCTATCAAGACTGAACTTAACTCAGACTCATATTATCAGAACCCTCCAATTTGAGCATTAGTGTGTTTCAGGAGGGCGTAGTCTCCCACAATCCACTGCATACTTGCTGCATCTCAATGAAAATCCGGTTTCACATTATGGAAGCATGAACTTCACTGAAATCCAGCATTTTGATCAGAAAACAGACAGATGTTGCTTTCAACTTTGAATTCTCAATGCTTTCCCCCAAAAGATTAGTTATTACCCGGTTTCCCCAAACTATGAGATCCTGATATTTGCTACAGATGTTACGCCGATAATCACTATGAGGGACTTCAAAAATAATGATGCAAGAAACCTAATGAATATTTTTAAAGCGCTGGACGACTTTAATTATGAGAGTAAGTATTCTAATTGAATGTCTCTCTTTGAGTCTTATTGTATACATGGATATAATTAGATTTTTTTTAGAGATTATTATTACAGAGTAATGTACTATGCAAAAATAGTACTTTTAAGTCTAACTTGAGGAGAATGCATGTATTCATTGCTATCCGATGTGAAAGTAAAAATGAAAAAATCTTACATTCTTTTTTTAAAATCCCAATTCATGTTCTAATTTTGATTCATTTGAATTTAGATTTAGTCAGTTGTTTCAATCAGAAAATTTTTCTAACCTGCTGACTGTAATATTCTGGTGTGAAAAAACAGATAGAGGTGATAAAACAGGAACCAATATCGCCAAACTCTATACAGCCATTTTAGGCAGCATGAAAATAGAGGAGCTCAACAATGCAACGACTTTCAGTGAGACCCAACACATCGTCATACTGTTCACTGATGGTATTGACTTTTCAGTATTTACGTACAATTTAATAATTTTTAAATACAATGCTTAAAAATTATTTTACACTTAATCAGTTTAAGTTCTTTATCAGAACAAATAAATTAATATATTAATAAAATACTCATACACTGTATTACAAATTAGAATAGAGATCAAACTTGAAGCAAATATTCACTGTAATTTATCTCATCTTACTTCATAGGTCAGGCAAACATGGGGGGGAATCCCAAACGTAAAGTGAACCAGATCAAATATCTTGTCACCAAAAATGATCCAATGCGAGAGAAGAATCTTGGTGAGTATGAAATTTATTAATCATAGTTATATTTTAAATAAAAATATTTGGACTATAAGTATTTTTTTATTTTTATTTATAAATTTTGTGTTTCATTAACAAGCAACATCATCAGGGACAGCAACAACAACAAAAAACAAACACACATATTTGTTTAGAAGTCTTTATCATTGATTTCATATTGATATGGATGTGTCCTCTCTTTCCAGATCTTTATGTATTTGGACTTGGAGATGACGTGAATCAAGAAGACATAAATGGCTTAGTGTCACAGAGGGACCAAGAAAAATATTTCTTTAAGCTTAAAAACTTGACAGAGGTGCAGGAGATGTTTAACGACATGATTGGTACTGTATCTGTACTTCACCCAAAAGTGAAATTTCTGTAATTATTTAATCACCTTCATGTTGTTAATGTTTTCTGTAAAACACAAAAGAGAAATGACTGTCATGCTCTAAAAAAAAACACACAAAAAAACAACCACAGTTGCAATAACACTATTGTTTGGATGAATCAGTTTCGCAGTTCCTGACCTCTTGTAATAATTCTTTATAATTTACTCAGTGTTAATTGCTGTTGTTATTTTTATTATTAACACTTTATACCTGCTTCTTTACACAGATGAGAGCACCAGTGTAGGATTGTGTGGGATTGTGTGGGAAGGCTTGGAAAATAAACGCCGTGCATTTCCCTGGTTGGCACAGATTAATATTCAAGTGAGCATAACCTTTTTATCATTTTATTATAGAACTCAATGAAGTTAAAGGAAACATTTTCTCCCACAAGAAGAAGAAACATGCATGTTATGGCTAAAGAGTTGAACCTTATGAACATCAGTCTTCTCTGCTCTTCGTGTAGCATACTTCTTCAAAAGGTTCCAATTGCATGGGGTCATTAGTTTCCTCAAGTTACATCTTGACAGCGGCTCACTGCTTCAAAGAGGGAGACACACCTGATAGGATAATAGTTAAACTGGAAAAAGACCTGAGTATGTTCTGATACATCCATATTTTCAGACTGAAGTAAAACGTGTCACAGGGTAAATCTTATTAATGACGTTTACATTTCCTTTTGCAGTTGTAAAAGTTAAAAATTTCACACTTCATCCTGAATATAACCCCACAGCAAAACAGCATATGGAAATACAGGAATATTACGAATTTGATGTAGCTCTTATACAGCTGGTTACAGCTGTTGAGATGAGTTTTAATCTACGGTGAGGAGCACAGATCTTCAACATGTGATGCTACTTTAGTGAGAATATGAAAAAAGAAGAAGAAGAAAAAAGCTGAACTAATTAAATAACATGTGTATTTCTCTACAGACCAATCTGCATCCCATGCACTAGAGAAACAAATGGAGCTCTGAAACTTTCAGATAGTGAAGGGACTTGCAGAAAACATGGTAAGGTCCCTGTCAGACATGCTGCATGCATATAAGAACCATATCAGAAATATGAAACATAAACTATATTAAACATGTGATTGCTTTTATACAATGAAACTTACCAAACATAAAATGTCAAACTTTTTTCTTTTTTAATTTGTTACAGAGGAAATACTAATGAGCAACGAGCTTGTGGAAGCTGCTTTCACGTCTGAAATGGATACTGATAATAGTCCAAAAAACATAAAAAACATCACAATCAAGCTTGGAAAATATGTAATGATTTTTCTTATTTCTAATCTTTCCAATCTGTGTAGTTTGAAAAGCTTAATTTAAAAAACATATTTCAGTCATCATCAACAAGCTAAGAACACTTCTTGGTGTACTTTTTCTTTAGCGGGATGCTTGTGTTGAAGATGCAAAAAAAGCAAAAGGAATCAATGTGAAAAATGCCAGGGAAGCAGTTACAGACAATTTTCTGTGCAGTGGTGGTAATGAACCAAAAACAGATGATGTTGCCTGCAAAGGTATGTTTGATTTTTGCCATCGAAGTGACAGCTTGTATTTGGTTCTAATCTACTGTTTAGGTCATACATTTTATTGATAACATTTTAATCATTAGAGATCTAAAATTAATTTATACCATTCTTATATAGTTTCTTGTGTTGCATGTTATTTTGTAACAGGAGAATCAGGTGGGGCCACTTATGTGAATAAAAAAGGTCGAGTGGTTCAGGTGAGATTTCCTTATGAAAACAGTATTGATGATGTGGCTGTAAAATCTCATGTACAATGCGTTACATATTACAGAGTGAAATTAAAGACTCATTTGAGAGAAGCTGAGAACTAGGACATTTTTTTAATATCTGTAAAATCTTTGATAGGTTGGTGTCATAAGCTGGGGAGTGAAGGACGTCTGCAAGGAAAAAAGGAGCTTCACTTCGGATGCAGACTCCAGAGATTACCATTCAAATCTTTTCAGTGAGAAAATACGCTCATTCCTTAAAGAACACCTAGAAAATGACCGCATAGGACAACCTCTTCAATTCTTGTGAATGCTTTAGCAGACTGAAACTGTGTGAGTGCAGTCTGATAAAACACTGATTTATTTTCTGATGAATACTCAACTTGAAGTCAAATAGCTGGTCTTTGATAAAAATAATAAAAATGTTAAACATCTATTATCAATAGTCTTTCATGTTTTACTCATTCAATGTTATGTCTATGTTGGTGCGGGACAGTCTGTACTGTATCCAACCACTGGCAGGCAGGGGAGTTTCATTATTGTTGCGATTACACAACTTATTTCCATCTGTCTTGAGAATGATAATAGCAAGGAAAAAGTATGTAACTAAATTAGCTGTTTTAGGGCTGAAGTATAATGGAGAGAATATGAAGATTACATCATACATGAAAAATGAGAGCTATGGCATTGATCAGACAAGAACCATTGTCATGTTAACATGAATTCCAAACACACTTGTTAGGCTGGATTCTGTGCAATTTTCTTCTGAGCAAACATGTGAGGGTGTTGAAAACATCATCTATGACCATCCTTAAACTGTGTGTGAAACCGCACACTTATATTGTCTTTGTAGTGGCTTCCACTAAGACGCTAGTGTGAAGTTGTTTGTTTAATATTCATTGTATTCTATTTCTGCATGTTTTTGTCAAGGACTTTTATTTTGGTGTTGCGCCCTCCGAGAAGGAGAGTGTGGCGGGCACGGGGACTAGTGCTGCTTACCTCCCCAGTTATTTCGGAAAAAGAGACAATAAAAGTAAAAGAAGACGTTTGCAACTAGACTATTAGAAGTTGGCTTATTGCCAGGATTGAACAGAGTTCACCTTTCTGACTCGTGTGCACGTTACTCCCTCCTCTGGCGGACTTCGGTAACTGCACATAGCCTCGGAACCAAAGGAGACAGTATTGCAAATAAGACTTGAAAAAAAAAAAAAAACTAATTGTTCATCGACCTTCACTACACTAAGTCTAACCTGCAAACCATCTATCAATAAAAGACTTTGCTGGATTTAACTGATACAACACTGCATTGACTTCACTCTTTTCAAACATGGCAGAGGACAATGTCACAAACCCGCAAGTGCACTTCAGAGCTGTTTTACCTCCAGACTTCACTGGAGATGGCAACGAAAGCTTTTCTCAGTGGGCTCGTCGTTTTCAAGTATGTTGTGAGACCTCAGGTATGGACAAACCTCAGCTTGCCAAAATACTTCCTTCAAGATTGGCAGGTGCTGCATTCAGTTACTGGGATAGTTTGTCGGATGACATAAAAGCTAATTACGACACCACTTGTAGCAAATTAGCTGCAGTTTTCGATCAAAAACAGCTATTAAGAACCTTTCAAACTTACTTGAATGCCAGACCGCGTCTGAGTAACGAGCCATTGGAAGTGTATGCTGCCGAATTGACCCGCCTTGTTCACCAAGCTTTTCCGGACTATGGAGAATCAGCCATCAAAGGTGAAATTTTGCGACGTTTTATAGCTGGACTTGAACCTGCATTGCAAGCTAAGCTGTATGAGTTTGGTGTTACTACACTTGAAGATGCGATTAAAGTAGCTGGTCGGTGTGAGAGAGCACGTTCTGCAGCCACTGAGTCGTTTCCTCTGCCTCAACCGGCCGTGGTACACAGCCTCACGACAGACTCCACCAATATGCTTGCAGCGCAGCTCAGTGACCTCCATCTGAAAGTAGACAAACTTCAGTCTGTTGTTACTATGCTGACGCAGCCGAAGTCTCATTATACCAGTTCTTTTTCATCTCCAGAACATCACTTTGCCTATCGTCGACGATCACCTTCAGTAGACAGAGCTACAGACAATCAATATTTGTCGTCTTCTCGCTATCAACATTTCACTGCATCTGATGAGCCCTACTTCAGAGGAAGATCTCCTCTACGTTCCAGTAACAGCCATCACAGACCACAAGGGAGCCCCCGGCCAAGTTATCATCAGCAGCAAGGCTATGAAAGACCCTTACTCTATGACAGTCGAGATATTCGCTTTAGCCCTCAGCGGGGATATGCTGCATACGATGACTCAGTGACTTCTCAACCCAGCTACAGGCGTCAATCGAATGATGACAGCAGTCCAGGCAGGAACCGAGATCGACGGAGGGGTGAGCAGTATTACAGTCATCGCTCTCCAAGTCCACAACGACCACATTCACGCCATGTACGCTTCACCGAGCAGCAGCGGTCGGGAAACGAATGGTAGCTGGAGATGAGGGCCAATCTTCAGTTCAACTGTCAGCGGCCCATAGCGACAACACAGTGACATCTTCGGACTCTGCAATCTGGACACCATACATAAAAGGACTCGTTGAGGACCAAGAAGTCAGTGTTTTCCTTGACACTGGCGCTGGTTTGTCGCTCATTAGTGAGGCCTTACGTCAACACATCCCTGCACTGAAACATCGCCCCTTACTCAAAAGTTTCCAGGTGGCACACACACTGACAGGACAACAATTAGACATTTTAGGCTCATTACCTGTCACATTACGTCTTGGGTCACACACATTCAGTATGAACATGTATGTTGTAAGAGACTCAGACAGGATGTCCTTCTTGGATGGGACTTTTTCAAAACACATGGTGCCTCAATTGACACAGCCTCTGGTACTTTTATGTTCAATAATGAGAAAATTTCCCTTCTCAGTTCCTCACATGCATTACCTTTTTGATGTAATGTGTCCTTGCTCTCACAGGTCTCAGTCCCCCCCTTGACAGAGGTTGTTGTTCCTGCTTCAGTAGCATGTACCTCAGAAACAAGAAGTCAGCTTCATGGTTTTCAAGGTATTCTAGAACCGAATGTGACATTTGACAAAGACTTGGCTGTTGCTCGTAGCTTCTCTAATGTTGAAAATGGGCTCACTGTAGTTCATCTACTTAATCCTACACACCAGGACATTGAGCTGCCCAAACAGACCCATTTAGGTCAATTCTACACTGTACGTAATGTGCCTTCTGATTTCTATAGGCCTATGGATAGTCTTGTGGCTCAGGTTAGCCTGCCAAGCCTTTCATGCCAAATACCTGATGTTCACATGGGTACTGACACTCTTACTCCCAGTGAGGTAGAAGTAGTTAACTCCCTCCTACAAGAGAACTGTGATGTCTTTAGCACTACCTCTGCCGATCTAGGTAGAACTGATTTGATTAAGCATAGCATACAGACATCCTCTACGTCCCCTGTGCGTCAGAGAGCATACCGTACATCTCCTGTCCTACGAAAGGAAATCGACAACCAAGTACAGAAACTTCTTGATGCTGACTTAATTGAGCCTAGTCATAGCCCTTGGGCTTCCCCGGTGATACTTGTCCGTAAGAAGGATGGCTCTTATAGATTTTGTATCGATTATAGACGTTTGAACTCAATTACTATCAAAGATGCACACCCACTTCCACGTGTGGATGACAGTTTAGACGCCCTTTCTGGAGCCACCTTGTTTAGCACTCTAGATTTGTCCAGTGGCTACTGGCAAATTCAAATGGATGATGCTAGCAAGGAGAAAACTGCCTTTACTACAGGTGATTCCCTCTATCATTTTAAGGTCATGCCAATGGGTCTTACTAATGCCCCCCCAACATTTCAGCGATTGATGGAACTTGTTCTCCGTGGCCTCCATTGGTCCAAGACTTTAGTATATCTTGATGACATAATAGTCTTCAGTAAGACCTTTAAAGACCACATTCATGGTCTCTCTGAAGTGTTTGGTAGATTACGGCAAGCTGGCCTCAAACTCCATCCTCAAAAGTGTCAGTTTTTCAAAGAGTCTGTACTCTTTCTAGGACATGTTGTTTCGAAGGATGGCATTCAACCAGACCCCAAAGTGACTGAGAAAGTGTTGAACTGGCCTCGTCCAACTACACCTACAGAGGTTAGAGCTTTCATAGGCCTCTGTTCCTACTATCGGCGTTTTATCAAAGACTTTGCAGAAAAGGCAGCCCCTTTACACAGCCTTACGAAGAAACATGCCAAATTTGCATGGAGTGAACAATGTGAGGACACTTTTCAGTATTTTCGGCATGCTCTAGCTTCCCCTCCCATTCTCACCTACCCTGATTTCAGCAAGTCTTTTATTCTGTATACAGATGCATCTCACCATGCCATTGGCTCCATTCTTGCACAACAAAAACAGGGTGTTGAAAAGGTAGTAGCCTATGCCAGTCATGTGCTAAGTGCAACAGAGCGCAACTGGTCCACCTTTGACAGAGAATGGTGGGCTATTGTTTGGTCCGTTAGACATTTCTCACACTACTTGCAAGGGTGCCCCTTTGTGATTGTTACCGATCATCGCCCCTTGTTAGGTTTAAAGAAAATGCCTATCGATCGAGATCCAACAGGACGTAGGGCACGCTGGGCATTGGAGCTTGATGTGTACAATTGGGTCATAAAACACAGGAATGGTGCAAAGCACACAAATGCAGACTCACTATCTAGACGCCCGACTCCAAGTGATACCACTCCTCAGCCTACTTCTGATCCCTCAATATCAGGCAAGTCAGAACCTCCTTTAGTCACAGCCCCTCTTACCGCTCATGCTGTCATAGACCTTTCTCAGACTTTGTCAGTCATAGTGCTGCTTTCCTCCCCAGTTCTAGGACTCTGCTCAATAAAAGTTACTAGCCGTCGATATTTTCAAGTCCATCGTCTTTATTCACATCAGCCCACGGGCACCTAAAACCCCACGCCTTACACTAGTATTGGTAATAGGAGCCAGCAAGTAATTGACGCGTAAAAATAAGTCCATGCAAAACCGAAGTAAAATGCAACAGTGTCCTTCTTTATTGTGCTCCAATGAATAAACATTGCTTCCACTTAGCTTCCCGTGGTGTCATTTTGTCTAGTTCATAGGATACAAAAGTCCATACCTTGTAGACACAGCATACAGTTCAACTCAGTCCCAAACACATAATCCAATAATTTGGCATGATGAAGCACGATCCAAACCCGTCCAAAACGGTCAAAAACGGTGTGCTTCCCTACTACCAATACACACCTGTTGTCTCATTAACCAATTGCCCTAATATACTATTTCCAGTGCGCTACCCAATGGACAAACACATAATTGCATTAAAATGGCTCATACACACCGGCCCCTTAATTGCTTATGGCAGGAAGACATAACAATTACAAAAAACATGCATAAATGAGCCATAACAAATAAAGCAACATGTACAAACATTTGATAATAAATTCAAGATATTGTTAGTGTAATAACAAATCAAACCACGTGAGTATGAATCATTTACCTCACAAACACAAAAACGTACAGGTCGTTCCAGAATCTTTACTGTATAATAAATCTTTATCATCAGGAAAAAATTCAGTACCCAATAAAACATCCATTTCAGCTTCAAAGTGATGATTCAGTAACAAACAGTTTACTCTAAATTACTTTAAACATCATCTGTGTCTATGGTGGATGTAATAGCTTTGTAACTCTTTTCAGTGCTAGTAATTCCTTCTCTTTGAAAGGTAACTTGTTCAGTAGATTCTGCAACTTATACATCCAAACAAATGCCACTTCCAGTCTTTTCCACTTTGTGAAATAAGCTATAAAGTAATTGGTAAGATTTGATGTACCTTGAAAGACAATGGCAGTTACTTTAATATTTCCTTTGATCTCTAGATCATTATTAACACAGTGGTCCTTCGTAGGTAGTACCTGATAATCTTCCTGCATTTTCTTTTTGACTTTACATTCATGGTCAATGGAGCAATTAAGTTCTGAATCTACATCTTTTGTTTCTTTCTCTTCATTCTTTTATTTAACACCACATCTGACTTCAGAATGTCTTCATCTTCAAGCAGCTGCACAACATGTACAACCTGATTTTGGATTGATCTTTGTTTCTTAACCTCTTTTACCTTGTATTTTTGGTCAGAAGCTTCCGATTCTACAACTGCTTCTTGAATTATTTCTCTGGCAGACAGGTGGTGTCCCTGTATATCTTGAATCTGGGTTTCAATTAAAACAGACTTGTCACCATGACACCCATCAAACACCTTTCCATTAGGCACATTAAGATTCTTCTCCTCCAACTCTCCTAGTGATTCAACCTCTTCCTGATCCACTTTTGCTTCAATACGGTTTTGAATTTGACTTTCCATTGGAAAAAATGATTGAAAATCCACATCCTGCCTGGACAACTCCCTTTCATCAATAGTCCTTTCCTTGAAACCATGATTGAACTGATTGTTAAGCAACTCCTCCAATTTCACAACAGAAAGCGGGAAGAAATGTTTGGTGTTTATACCACTGATATCCAGTCCATCAATAACACTGCAGGACACAGACTGTTCCTGACCCATGGTGCGAAGAAGAATATTGACCTTCTTTCCACTCAGATTCAGCTCATTCCTCAAATGTTCTGAACAAAAGGTTGCGGAACTTCCCAGGTCCAGAAAAGCATATGTCCACGTCACTTTGTTACCTTTAACAGCTTAGACTTGGACTGGTATGATTGACATCAGACTCCTGTCGTTCCCCGCCCCTGTGTGACCACAAGTTTGAGCAGACACTACCTTGCGCTTTTCCTCTGGCTCTTTTACGGTTACCTCCTTGTGATATATGTACAGGATTGTGGGGTGTGTTTCTCCACAAATGTCACAATTCAGACGATTCTCACATTCCTTACTCAAATGTCCAGTCTTTAAACAACCGAAACAAATTCCTTTAGCTTTCAGGAATTCAATCTTGTCTCGTTGAGTCCTTTTCTTCAACGCAAAACACCTGTCCAACGGATGCTGATTTGTACAAAACAAACGGTTTCCATTAGACTTAGATACAGGACAAAATCTTTGATGTGAATAGTCTTTACAAAACTATTTCTTGTAAAGGTTTTGCGGGTTTGACCATTGTATTTACCTGTGCCATGCTTGTCTTGGATATCTCCAAACACAGGATCAGATGCCATCTTAACCTGTTTTTCAATTAACTCAACAACATCCAAGAACTTTGCCCTGCCCTGACTAGACTCCATAATCTCACAAGCCTTAGCTCTCCATTGCTCTCTCAGCTTGTAAGGTAACTTCATTACAACCATTTTCATGTTGCTAGGCATGTTAAGTTCTTGCATATATGAGAGTTCGTCCATTGTGTTGCAACATGTACGCAAAAACAAAGCATAAGCCTGTAATCCTTGCACATCCTCAGCCTTCAAAGTGGGCCAACCCAAGGCTTTCTCCATATAAGCAGTAGATACCTTAAACTCATTACCAAAATGTTCCTTTAGTAACCTTTTGGCCAATGCATAGCCTCTGTCTGGGGCCATATGTTGGCAACTGCGGACCAGGTCTTTAGGCTGCCCCATTGTAAACTGCTCGAGGAAATACAAGTGATCCTTTTCATTGGTTGTTTTCTGCTCAATGCCGTATTCAAACACTGATGAATGGAATATATTGCAATGGGTCACCATCAAAGACTGGAATCTCCCTTTTTGGTAGGACACGAGGATTGGCTTGCTGTTGAACGAGGTAGGTTGTTAATTACTCTTGCCTTTTCAGGTCTTCAAGCAGGGGATCGCCCAAAGGTGGAAGAACGCGTGTTGCATGATGAATTCCCAAGTTATCATGTTGCATTTGAGCAGAATAATGGAAATTAGATTGTTCAGATGTATGAAATATTTGTTGATCATTCCATCAACGAAGTAAATCCTCAATTAGTCACATATCCACAACGAAATCCAGCGTCCACTGAACGAATCCGTACTGGATTGAAGAATCCGCATTCAGTGAAGCCTCCATCTCAAAGAAGTGGCGTCCACATGCAACACACACACAGGCCATTGGAAGCAAGTTCTCTATGCTCACAACTTAGTGAAGCTCAGTTTTTGACTTATGTAGCGGCTTCCACTAAGACGCTAGTATTGGTAATAGGAGAGAGCAAGTAAAACTCGTTGAGTCCTTTTCTTCAACGCCAAACACCTTTCCAACGGATGCTGATTTGTACAAAACAAACGGTTTCCATTAGACTTAGATACAGGACAAAATCTTTGATGTGATGAAGCATTGCTAGACTTCTTAACTGGAGCAGAAGCAGCAATGTCAGTGGCAAAACTATTTCTTGCAAAGGTTTTGCGGGTTTGACCTTTGAATTTACCTGTGCCATGCTTGTCTTGGATATCTCCAAACACAGGATCAGATGTCATCTTAACCTGTTTTAATGAACTCAACAACATCCGAGAACTTTGCCCTGCCATGACTAGACTCCATAATCTCACAAGCCTTAGCTCTCCATTGCTCTCTCAGCTTGTAAGGTAACTTCATTACAACCATTTTGATGTTGCTAGGCATGTTAAGTTCTTGCATATATGAGAGTTCGTCCATTGTGTTGCAACATGTACGCAAAAAGCATAAACCGTAATCCCTGCACATCTTCAGCCTTCAAAGTGGGCCAACCCAAGGCTTTCTCCATATAGGCAGTAGATACTTTAAACCAGGGCTGTCCAAACTCGGTCCTGGAGGGCCGGTGTCCTGCCTGGAAGTTTCTAGTATGCCTAGTAAGACCTTAAAGGGGTCATATGATGTTGCTAAAAAGAACATTATTTTGTGTATTTGGTGTATACCTTAAACTCATTACCAAAATGTTCCTTTAGTAACCTTTTGGCCAATGCATAGCCTCTGTCTGGGGCCATATGTTGGCAACTGCAGACCAGGTCTTTAGGCTGCCCCATTGTAAACTGTTCGAGGAAATACAAGTGATCCTTTTCATTGATTGTTTTCTGCTCAATGCCATATTCAAACGCTCTGATGAATGGAACATATTGCAATGGGTCACCATCAAAGACTGGAATCTCCCTTTTTGGTAGGACACGAGGATTGGCTTGCTGTTGAACGAGGTAGGTTGTTAATTACTCTTGCCTTTTCAGGTCTTCAAGCAGGGGATCGCCCAAAGGTGGAAGAACGCGTGTTGCATGATGAATTCCCAAGTTATCATGTTGCATTTGAGCAGAATAATGGAAATTAGATTGTTCAGATGTATGAAATATTTGTTGATCATTCCATCAACGAAGTAAATCCTCAATTAGTCACATATCCACAACGAAATCCAGCGTCCACTGAACGAATCCGTACTGGATTGAAGAATCCGCATTCAGTGAAGCCTCCATCTCAAAGAAGTGGCGTCCACATGCAACACACACGCACAGGCCATTGGAAGCAAGTTCTCTATGCTCACAACTTAGTGAAGCTCAGTTCCCTTTCAGTCGGTCACTCTCGACGTCACGTCGGATGACCGTCTCCGTTCCCTCCTTCAGGGAACGAGGGTTACCATACGTAACCGAGACGTTTTTGACTTATGTAGCGGCTTCCACTAAGACGCTAGTATTGGTAATAGGAGCGAGCAAGTAAAAATAAGTCCATGCAAAACCGAAGTAAAATGCAACAGTGTCCTGATCTTTATTGTGCTCCAATGAATAAACATTGCTTCCAATTAGCTTCCCGTGGTGTCATTTTGTCTAGTTCATAGGATACAAAAGTCCATACCTTGTAGACACAGCATACAGTCCAACTCAGTCCAAACACATAATCCAATAATTTGGCATGATGAAGCACGAACCAAACCCGTCAAAAACGGTGTGCTTCCCTACTACCAATACACACCTGTTGTCTCATTAACCAATTGCCCTAATATACTATTTCCAGTGCACCACCCAATGGACAAACACATAATTGCATTAAAATGGCTCATACAGTTGATGAAACCCGATTTTCTTGCTTTGTCCGCACTTCCCATAAAGTAAGTTTCTAACCAGTAAGCAAGCTGATTGTTACAGTGAAATATAATTATAGAAGATAAGGAAGAAACCTTGTAAG